GGAATATCGAGTGAGATGGAGAGAGGTGAATATAGTAAATATCGAGTGAGATGGAGAGATGTCAATGTAGTGAATATTGAGTGAGATGGATAGAGGTGAGTATAGTGAATATCGAATGAATGGAGAGATGTCAGTGTAGTAAATATCGAGTAAGATGGAGATAGATCAATATAGTGAATATCGAGTGAGATAGAGGGCAGAAGCCAATGTGCCGACCGAACTGCTCGAAGGTTCCATGCCCTAAGCCTATTGGCCGTTCTTCTTTGACCAGATTCCGCCAATGATTTGTTGGATTGAACATCAGCAGAGTCACAGCAACGAGTCGGTGTTGCGTGACTGTAAATTTGATCAGTTACTTACAAATGTCACACAACTCTTCGAGCGATAGTCTTGCTAACTTTGAAAACTGATATAAAGGTACCTGGCGTATTCATACTGGGGGCACTGACAAACCGTCGTTGGGGAAAGGAAGGGCAAGTCAGTATTTTTAAGACTAAGGATTCAACGGTTGCTTTTAAATGAAAGGTGATCTTGCCAATGCTCTCTCGAAAGCTGCCAGCGTTCTCTGGAAAACTGCTAGTGCGAGTGATCACGAGACACCGCCACATGCTCGGCACGGTCCAAGTCAAACAGCTAGAGCGATGGTAGGAGACGCAGCGGTTGCAGTGGTGGTCACAGAGGGGCCAACAGAGGCAAACGCGGCGCCGGTCAGGGAGACGCGGCCAGGCCGTTTATGTCCATTGTAGAGCCGGCGGAGACGCCACCGGAGGGGGCTGTGGGGCTGGCAGGAGCGCAACCGGCGGGGATGTGGAGTTCGTGAGGGCGCCACGGGCGGGGATGTGAAGTCGGTGAGGGCGCCACCGGCGGGGCTATGGAGGGGCGAGGACGCCACCGGTGGCGCTGTGAGGCCGATGGGCCGGCGAGGCGCCGTTGGCAGGGTTCTGAAGGCTGGCGGGGGGGGGGGGGGAGGGGGGGGAGGCGGGATACCAGGGAATATGCAGCCTGCAAGGGCGCCACCGGCAGGGTTGAGGTGTGAGTGAACGTCCGCCACCGGCAAAGAATGTAGACCCATCGGTTGCACTGAAACTGTATTTATCTTTAAATATTTTGGGGATTGATCTGAGAATGTTATGCTGTATTTATGACATGCTCTTTCGACTCGCTGCCGTGACCTTAACTGAACCCCACGTGTTCTCCTCGCCTGAATGCCTTGGGGCACTCATAACACTGCTGAACGCCTGCGAACTCGTCGCCAAGTTGCAAAAGTTGGTCACTGACTCTTCGAAAAACACATTAAAACATGCCTTTGATTAAATATCGTAGCACCTGGCATTTAACTGGTATTCAGCACACAGTCACCATTAAATGTGTCTATGGAATGACCCCGTTAATCGGTCCAGCACCTTTGTAAGACCAACGGTTCTGGAAAGGGCTGACAATAATAGAGTAACGTGCCGAGCCTCAGCGGCTGCGCCAGTCTCCGATCAGCCGGCAGACGTGTGTCCCGGTCAATAGCAGCAGGTGACGGGCGCCAGACGACCGAGCCGTCCGTGCCGACCATGATCATGGCGCGCGTCCGTCCCTGGAGAGGTACCCCCGCAGGGTCAGGGAGACAGCTGAGCGTCGCTCGGCGTCCAGCACTGTACCGGGATGGCGGGGGTCAGGGCCGGGGAAGGGGATCGTTCGCCCGCAACTGCCGCTCAGGTGGACTATGTCGCTCAGTCCGCGACCGTCGAGAATCGAAGGAATGCTGCTTCCCTGCATGTACGCGCTTTTCACCGTTGAATGTGAACGTACATATGCGGCCGCCCGTACGTCATGCCATACTTGGGGTGGGTTTTGACTGCGCGTAACTACTGTGTAGCAAGGTAGAGAGGTTTTCAAAAGCGTAACACCACTCTCAGGTGTGGCTGCAAAACATGTTAAAACATGTAACAGATATTTTCAAACGTCGTCAGATATCGCCTGGCAACGAATACTTTTGCGGCAAACGGCATGACCATTTTTGTTTGAAATTTCTTGGTCAATTAAGTGCCAAACGGAGTTTTGTTACCTTGTGGATCGTTACGTCTTGCAACGCTTAACCAGGGGAAGGGGCTTCTCCCACCGTAACCAGTGCCCAAGTACCGGGCTGTGGTGTTGAAAAACGGCCAAAAGTACTAACTGCTGGTTATGGACAGCCTCTACTTATTGAACAATTGTGTGATATTTGAACCGACTCCGTCATTGCGTGCCCTTACACAGCTACCGGCAATCCGGCGCTTTGCTACCCAGCCGTTGAACTGGATTTCCTTTCCCCTCAACAGACCTCTTGCGGTCCGGAAGGGCGGCCAAGCGTGCGCACGATGTCAGATACAGACGCGCCGGAGATCGTGAGGAGGACGGCGGAGATGATGAACAGCGAGCTGATGGGCGCCGCCCTCCACGGCTGGCACTTCGAAGTTGTCCAACTGCTGCAGGAGGGTATCGACGTCAATGTGGAGGCCCTCTTCCACGCGGGAAACGAACACACAGGTCAGTCGCACGGGTGGTGCGCTGCAAGGAAACGTCGTGGGTGTTGGCATGCTTGTGATGTGTGACTAGTTTTGGATTGCTGTATCTACGGGTGTCGATTTGTATTTTTTTGTGATGGCTCTGCCCCCCCCACCAATGTTGAGTTGGCCCCGCATTTTTTTTTTGGCTGGAATGCTACAAAAACCGAGGGTAAAAGATGATCATAACTCGAAGGCTATCTGCTTTGATCTTTCGCGTAGTGGCATCTCGAGCCACTCTCATAAAGAAAAATCATGGCTGCTCTCACCGCAAGAAAAAAATCGTGACAGCTGAGCGGATAGATAATGCGGTAAACTTCACATGCCTGGCACCATGAGACATTCAATGGTTTACCAGGTTAAAATATAAAGCTCCGGAATACAGGGATGACATTGGTCCTTCATGGCCAACCCCATCCCCGTCCCCCACAACCGAAAGGCGTGCCGCCTCGTATGACCGCCATAGAAAAGCGCCATCGACGCTTAAAGGGGCGCCTTCATGTGGCGATCAGAAGAAACGCGCGCATCCAGTGCCTGCTCCCTGGATCCAGCCCTACTTGATTACTGGACTGCTTAAATTAAAGACATCTTTAAATTATACAAAGATTAAAAGCATATTCTGCGTTTAAGCAAAACAAAGTGGGCTAAATCCGGTGAGGCAAAAATGGGGGAGGGAGGGTAGGTTGTCAGGCCTTCGGTTCGCCCCCCCCGGACATTTTACAAAAAGTGACACACCTGGTTGAATCTCCTGAAGCTACCATAAGTATGTCATCACAGTACGTCATCACAATCTGCTTTTGTCAGGTGTATCATATATTAAAATCTGTCAGGGCAAATGCAGAATTTTGTAATCGGTAGAATAGATGACGTTGTTTTCACAGAAAGTTGTCGTACCGCGGGCGCCCTGAATTCCTAGGATGGCTTACAACAAGAGCGCATGTTCACAATCTCTTTATGCGACGGGTCTACTCCGATTGTTGCATTGCCGATATTCATCCGAATGCGCGAGCACGATATTAATACACATGAAAAGGTGAGCCTAATGCCTTTCCCCTTGAATTTGACTTTATAATTAATATGGCACCTTCTTTCTTCTATGTGCAAGTTTTGATCCTCTCGATTCTTTATTACATAGCATTTTGTTCAATGGACACCCATAACAGCTTCCAGAAGTCCAGACATGATTTACAGTTTGGCAAAGTAATCTGTGGAGAGTGGGGATGTGGTATAATGGCTAGGACGCTCGGCTCTGGGCGTGTCGGTCCTGAGTTCAGTTTTCTGCGATACAACTACCGCATCCCATATGCAGCCTAGCAAAGGCATGCCGTCTCCAAATAACACAGTTGGTGAAACATTACCCCACCATTATTATTACTTAAGTAATCTACAGCCTTAAAATATTGAACATCATGATTGACCAACGCCAAGACTGATTGGGAACTTTACTGTCTTTGAACATGAGAATATATCACACTTTTGCGTTGGCTCATCAGGCATTTTGTGTGCGGGGTGACCGGACCTGCTCGCTTGTAAGTTTTTACACAAGCCTCTTCTCGCGAGCGGCACACTAGACAGGAGGCCTCCTGTCTACTAGACAGGAGACAGGAGGCCTCCACGAACCAGTCTCAAACCGAGGTGGGCAAACAGCGCGTCCGCTGGCAGACGGTCCCCCAGCATAACGCGCTGCCGCCAGAACTGGCTCCCAGTAACAGCCATGGACATGAAACGCCACTGGCTGGATACCTCGGCAAACAATTTTGTGTATTCATTAACAGTTTCGTCTGACTGTTGTGTGTTAATCTATGCACGTCCGCCGGAATCGGTATGCATGAAGCTTTGGCAACATCCTACACTTTCTTGATTCGTGACGTGCTTGAGTTAGGATGAGCCTTCTAACCTTGTTTAGTTACGCATCGCCCAAAATATGTATTTTTGTCCATGGAGCAGGCGTGCTACACTTCTGAAAGAGTATTTATGCTCATTTAAAGCTTTTAAATCTTTGCATACACCTTAGCTGTACTTTTTGCTGACGTCTTACCCAGCTTGACCGACTCATGTGCTCTGGCCGCAGTGTACCAGGCCCTGACGTACGCCATCATGGGAGGCCACGTGCACGTGGTCCGGACCCTGGTCGAGGCTGGTGCCCGTTTGGAAGACGAATGCGGCCCCGGCTGCGAGACAGCACTGATTACGGCTGCAACTCTCGGGCACACGGAGATCGTCCAGGTACGGACACCCTCGGCCTCCGGTCTGTCCGTGAACAGCCGGCAACAGGGGCAGCCTTCTGTCACATCAGACCCCCGTCCCAGCTGGCAGCAGCCCGCTGTCACGTCAGGCCTCCTGCCCCCACGTCAGGCCCCCGTCCCGGCAGCAGAGTTCCCAGGTTGTGTTGTGAGGCACTCAAGTTTTTATGAATGGGGTGTGTTGTTGCCGACATTTATTTGCCACCCTGTTTCAGAGCAAGGCATTCGACTCCCTTGCCTCCCGAGCCTCCCTTGCGTCGCACAGCCGAGAATGCTGTAGTTACAGCGGCCGGTACCGTTCGCCCAGTCAGGCCTCGGGCCTGTATATTTGCACGTACTGGCTTGCAGACTGACCGCAATTGTGTTCTTGTTTCAGCATTTGCTGGAGAACGGCGCTCAAGTGAACGCTACCTCCCGTTGGAAACAGGTACGTCCTTTGTGACATGGAGAAAGATGCGATGAAGCAGATGGACACAGCTCCGTATCGTTGGTGACATGACTTTGATCTTGGCTTGAAACAAAACAGATAGTCTGTCTGAGCTGTAGATTTTCGAGGTTTGTAAGATTTTGTGCTTGGCATGCAAATTGTCGAAATCCCATGCGCCGTCGAGCTTATGGCATAACTAGTGTTAGCGGGGATGGTGTTCATCTCCTGGATTGCTACGGCATTAGATAAATTGTCATTAGGCTTAATTGTTACGGCGTAGATCACCGAGACTTATCATCCTTTCAATCCGTTTTCGTCTTGAGAGCTAAATTGTTTGATAAAGAGCATAGTGCTGCCACGCCCGAATATACAAGTGACTTTCCAACAGGCCACTCCGGAACAGTCCGAAAGGTTTCACAGACTGGTTACACCGTCCTCCTCCCCGCAGAACTCGGCACTAACGGCAGCCTGTGAGCGGGGCAGCGCAGAGATAGCGCGCCTCCTGCTGATGGCGGGCGCGCACATGGAGCACCAGAACCTCCAGAAGTACACACCGCTGATGGTGGCCTGCGATGGTTGCCACTTGGAGGTGGTGCGGCTGCTCATCAGCAGCGGTGCTCAGGTGCGGACCACACACTGCTGGGCAGGCCCATCAACGAAGACGGTGGGTCCGCGGGTGGCGGGATGCGCCGATGATTGCCAACGTATGCAGCTGATATGGCAACTACGAGTTGGGCTGAACTTAGCCCACAAAGTCTCAATATCTGTCGGTTTTAAGGTGGTTTGACTCTCCAGGCTCTCTCTTCAGTTTATGAACTTATATCGTCTAATATGTGGTCTAAGTCTGGTACTATGAATGCTATGGTGCCGCCGCCGAGTTACTCAGCGACACCTGCTATGTGGGGAGACCGGCCGCCATGTCCTCTTTGGGCGGGGTGGGGGGGGGGGGGGGAGGGGAGGGGAGCGGCGCACCGTACGGCAGGTCTTGATGGATGGTGCCCACCTCACGTTGGAACGCATGCCCCATTTGGGACCAGGATCCGTACGCCAGACGCCCTATGACATCTTGATAGATGACTCGAAAGGATTAAGGACGGCAATATTTTCCATCTTCTTGAAGGCGTTCAATGTCCTGTAATATACCTAACTTAACATTGCCTCCTTACTGTTCATAATCATCTGTTAAATAAGATGTAAGTTATGAGCACCACGTGACCACGGCAGACGACGTACTCTAAGGCCCAAATCATCTTAATCATCACATTTCCACCCTTCGGTTAGAACTGAAATGTGTGGCAAAAGTTATATTGGACGGCACTTAACATCATTAACGTCAGTTTCAGTAGTTTATTACAAATGTGGCGATGCATGGAAAAATGATGGTTGCCGATGGTACTTTCTACTTAAGAGTAGTGTTATTCACCATGCAGATTCTTGGCTGTTCGGTGAAACGGGATTCTGTCTTTCGGTACCTGGTATTTAATCGCCGTCCGCTCACACGTGATCATCTGCACCTAACCCTCATGACTGGACCCGACCCCTTGGACCAATGGCCTCCGACCTGTGATCTGATCTCTTACTACTGACCCTGAGCTCTTGGCCCTAGTCTAACCCGTAGGGTAGAGGATGACCCTGGCACGGGACCCGACCTCCGACTAGTGACCCTCGACGTATGACCTGACCTCTCACCCCCAATCCCCGTGACCGTGACCCTAGCCTGACCTGTAGGGCAGAGGATGTCCTCGATGTCACACGTAACCGTGGTCCTGACCTGATCTTTGAACTGACCCTGACTCCTGATCGCAGCCGACAGAGCCGCCGGGCAGTCCGATCTCGCCGCTGCTGTTGGCAGCGCAACATGGCCATCTGGAGGTGGTCCGGCTTCTGCTCGGTCAAGGCGCCGACACAGAAATTGTTAACCAAGCAGGACACACCGCCTTAGTGGAGGTGGCCAGGTCAGTGGCTTCCCGTAGGGAAAAATCGACGCGGTATTGGATTAAACTGTTCTAAGAGGTCGCGATTCTCCAAATTTCAAAGCATTGCTAACGTGTTTCAAGTATGCATTGGGAAGAACGATCGTGTAGTAAGGGAGCTGTAGGTTTAAGTCGGCAGGCTTTAGGCCCGATGGAGAGAGATTCGTTCAACAATCCCATATATTCGTAAGACCAAGCCTGAAATGTATGTACACTTAGTGGTCTGGATGGGTCCGTAGTTTCTGAAAAAAGCCAGCAGCGGCATGAATAAGATATGTTTGTGTTGTAATGTGTAAATGTTTTAACTGGTAGTGCTTCTATTCCTCTCTTCCCGCGCGTGACCTGTGGCGGCTCCGATTTTGACTCTTGCCGGCCTCAATGATCTCACCGCTCTCTGGGGCGCATCGGTGGTGGACAGCGCCTTGTACCGATTCCACACGCTGTGCGAAAAAGTGCAGATAAGAATAAAAAGGGTCATAGTCCTGTGTATGAGGTGTTCTACAGCTCTGCTCACATCTTTGGCAGGGTGTATATTTGGTCGGATCGGACGGCATTTAAAGGGAAAGTTTCACATTTGAAAAGGAGAAAAGACATGATATTGCATGAAAAGCTCACGATTACGTATCAAACGATGCTGACTCACGCTGATGGTGACACAATGCGTATAAAGTAAACTAGTCTGATTATCCTAACGTGAAGGTGACGTGAAGGTCTCTCCATGTCCAAGTCTCCAGACGCTGACAATGTGCCCCTTTCCTGCTCCAGAAAAGGGCTCACTGAGCTGGTGGCCCTTCTGCTCTCGTATGGCGCTCATGTCAACTTCATCACAGAGGACGGCAAGAGCTCGGCACTGTCGTTGGCGTGCGCCAATGGACACCTGGAGACGGCCCACATCCTGGTCAAGGTCACGATCTCAGGGGTACCCCAGCATACGGCATTCACTGTTTGAACACGTTGTTCCCAGGCGAATCCTCATCTGAAGTGTACTGCCATGCATCTGTGTCATGCGGTGCATGCTCTTAAAGGGAGGATGGCCACTTATTAATAATTAGTTGTTGTTTACACCATGTGTCTCTTACAGTTGGGCTAGCTCGGACGCGACAAACATACGAGCGCTTTTTAACATCCAGTTTAATACAAAATTAGCCGCGAGTGATTGAGGGGAGAGCATCTGGAAATAACTTCTAAGGATTATTTTGGATGTGTTGTGGCGCGCTTCCTCTGCTGGCATGCACCAATCTCCACCAATGCAGTTTGCGACGTTACACTATCTCTGGCGCACCCGTGATTATCAGCTCTGACCTTATTTTAACTGCCGGTCTGATATCATTGTCGGCCATCGACACAGACTGTTGCAAGGAGCCCAGTAAAACACTCTGCATCCCCGGGAATACTCGGCACCGCCCACTGCCTCCAACTCTTCCCGTCACAGTGCCCGTCACAGCTGACACTCGGCCTGCGTACGCGGGAAGTACTCGGCACCGCCCACTGCCTCCAACTCTTCCCGTCACAGTGCCCGTCACAGCTGACACTCGTGTCTGGGTCCTTCTCACAGGACGGAGCCGAGATCAACAACTGCGCTGTCTCACCGCTGTTTGAGGCCGCATGTGTCGGCAAGGACGAGATCGTCGAGTAAGTCTGATGGCCTAATGCAGCCTGCCAGTGCCGTGGACTTGGGCCAGGCGTGTTCTGCTTTGCTCACGTCGCCGATTATTGCAAGTTGCTTACACCGGCAACTAGAGATTGCCAAGAAGGCCGAAATGTCGCCATGAAACCTCCGATTGTTTCATAAAGACCATTCAAGTTTCAGTTTCAGTTTTCAGATGATGAAAAACGTGCGAGTCAAAAGTTTGCACGGAACTTGCGAAAAAAAATTAGTAAGGCGCTGGAACGAAACCTTCGGGTTTCTTGCAGTACCTGTTTAAAACTTGTCTCTGCCTGCCGACGCTTCTTGAGTATTCTTATTATTTAGCACGTCTGTTAGCATGCCAGCAATGAGCTTTCTCATCGTGCCAATCTCCCTGTGCAGCGGAGCTGGCCGTATCAGTCTTTCCTCCATGGCTGAAGAAACACCGCCCGTGATGGGACTCGATCCCGCGGTTACCAACACTGACCGATCGAGCGCCATGCCTGTGACATCTGGCCGCTGGTTCTGGAGGCTTATCCGGCGGCTGCGCTTTTCGCAGTTGGCTGCTGCGGCTGGGCGTTCCGGTGCAGCATCAGAACAGTGACGGAGACACGGCACTGATCAAGGCAGCCCGGCACGGCCAGACGGCGGTGGGGCGCATCCTGCTGGAGCACGGCGCTGATGTGGTGAGCGATCCGCACTACCGAGCGTCCAGACGTGGCCAGCGTTCTCTCCCGACGTTCTCCAGCGTTCTCTGTCCCGACTTATTTTGACGTGATGCACATCGAAGTCATGAGGAGCCCTGCACTTACACAGCCACTTATCGTTCTCCAGTACATACGCTCACATCGAGTCTCGCTACCAGTCGTTCTCATGTTCTCAGCCAGCCCAGTTTTTTCAGATCGTCACGTGACGTCCTCACGATTACGTCCGCCGGCCTGCAGGAGGCGCTGAACCACTGCAACCGCTCAGCGCTGATGGAGGCGGCTGCTGGAGGCTACAGCGGTGTCGTGCTGTTGCTGTTGGGCTATGGCGCGAACTTGAACCAGCCCTCGCCCGACAACACGGCCACGGCCCTGAGCCTGGCCTGCCGCGGCGGCTGGCACCACACTGTCCGCCTGCTGCTGCTGCGCGGAGCCGACCCCACGCACCGGCTCAAGGCAGGTGGCCGCCGTGGCCGGGCCTGACGTTCCGGCGAGGGCGCGAGCTGGCCTGGCTGGCGACGCTGGATTGTGCAGCGCTCAGCGGACGCGGCCCGGAGAGGAGAGAGGGCTGCTTTCAGGGGAGGGGGCACGGTACTAGAGGCGGGGTTTGATGGACAGTGGGTACGAGGGTCTTGCAGGGGTAAGATTTACTTTGTCCATTCCACTCGCTACTCATGGAGGCGTGTACATACCCACCCACTACATATTTGCAAGGAGTAGTCTACACCCGTTATCCAAACGTTTGCATTGCCAAGCACTTCTGTTCTGAATCATGGAAACTTTTCAGCAAAGTTTGCGCCTAGTCCCACTTGTTTGCGTTGCTAATTGCAAAAGTAGTATAAGTGAAGCTTTTATCACTCAAAGAAGCGGCAAATAACCCTTTTCAGTGTTTCCTGAACTATCTACATACCATTTCGTAAACGCCTTGCGTCTTAAATCGTAATTTCCACATCATGCTTACCAAACTCAATCCGTTCCATATTCCATTCAAATACCCATGGGCTTACCCGACCTAACAGTTTTATAATCACCTAATATGGGACTTGTAACCCATGGGACTAATCAGTCTTGTAATGGGGGTGGGGATGGGGTAGGGGGGGGGGGGGCGGTTCAGACGGTTCAGGATGTGAAGACCTGTCAGAGGGTGGTTGCAACGCTGATGACGGGTCAAAGGGTGGCAATGATCGTCAGCCCAGATCTGTTGGACACCAGCGTGCGAGCGTCTATCATCAGATCGGTCCTGGCAGGCCATCTGGCCGGGCTGGGTATCACCCCTGCCGTCAGCGGCTCGTATCAGCACGAGGAGAGCGGTGTCTTCAGCGTGTCCGGTGGGCGGGCCGGCCCTGCGTCACGCCGTGACGCTGTTCTGCTCGAGAGGCGCTGCTGAATCGCATGCACTCTACACCAGCGTGGAAATGACCATTGCTTCAAAGTCGGGCGCCTAGAAGCGCATGACGATTTCTGACCGGCACCTTTCTTTCTAATCCCTAGGGTGATTCATCAGCCCTGGTGGAGGCGGTTTTGAGGGAGCATGTGGAAGTGGTTCGTCTTCTCCTGCGGTTCCCGAACATTCCTCCCCTCTCTGATGAAGAGGTGAGGCCGCGTCATCCGTGACATCATGGTTCAGTCAGCTGTCTCATGCGTATCCACCGCTCCTGACCGCGAATGCTCCCATTCTGTTGCGTGGGCGATGACTGGATCATTTCACATTAAGAAGCAGTGGTCGACAAGGGCTAGGTTTTTACGTTTGGTATTGTTTCCGAGTGGATTGTGCTTATTGGACATCTCTAACCCCAACAGGGTGACAGCATGACCTTCGGCATGCGCGAGCTTTTTGTCTCTCTGTCACGGCCGTTCTCCACCCCCAATTTTGGGTTACTTTTCTTCAGGCTTGACCTGTTTAAACAAACGATAAAAGGCAATGAAGCCGTATCATTTTTTGAAATTAGTAAGTGCAACAAAAATATCTACATTGCAAATCCGATTCCAAGACTGGATGAATACATGGAGATCACTGGGAACCGTGTGGACAGAATCTGTTCAGTGATAGTGTACCGGAAACTGTCGCCGGGACATGAAACGTGCGATTGCAGCTCATTTAAGAACCTGATGCTTGGTTGAGCCTGACGTAGACAAATGGCAGAAAGCAAGGAGGCTGTGGTACAAAGCACAAAGAAAAAATAGTTTGGATGCGTAAACTGTCTGTTGGCAGAGCGTCTGTTGCTGTACCCCGCCAAGCAGTCGGCACCGCGTGAGGCTCTACTTATGGTATCCATGCCACGCCGCTGGCTTGTACCATCTGTGGGACTCATGCCCGTCCGGTTCCGGTTAGCTATGTCTTTAAGATCCCCTCCCCCTGGGTGTGAAACTGAGCCTGTACGTTCGTTTTTCTACCGGCAGCTGGCCTCCCTGATCGATATAGAGATGGACTCGGATGAAGAAGGCGATCCCCAAGGTGGGAGGTATGACAGCCAGGACAGGAAGGGCCGAAGCCAGGGCGAAGCTCAGCAGACACAGGACGCGGACTTGTTCTGGCAGGACAGAGAACTCCAGACGCGAGAGAACAATGTATTCAGGCAGGACGAAAACTGCTTCATCGAGGGGGAAGACGTTCTCAGCCAGGATGAAACGTCATACTCGAGCGACAGCTCAACAGAGTGCTCCGATGACACGGACGACAACGCCTCTGACGATGATGATGAAGACGATGATGGTGATGACGCAGGTGGGTGTCTGTCTCTCCGTCATGGGAATCAAGCAAGCTGATCGCATGCGAGGCGGCTCTGTGCATCAGCTGAAGCTCCGGTGGCCGTTCCCCTGACTGGCCGACTCTCGTGGTCCAGCCAGATGGACTGAGGACGGAGAGTTGGGAGCATGTTTACTTAGCCTCCCCAATGTCATCGATGCATGGCGTGTTTGGGTATTATGTGAAAGCTAGATGAATCTCCGAATAACGGTGCGGTTCGTGATCAAGGTATCACTTGACTCGCATTCACTCTCCCCGCTAATTAGTACTGCGGAAGACCAGACTCGCAGTTAAAACCTGTCCTGGTCAAGCTCAGTTACTTAAGTCACTTCCTCATCACGTTTAACCTTGTTCATGTAACAGTGGAATGCCGGAAACTATATATTAATGCAAGTTATTCCGTTTTGCAGACAGTGGCATGCAGTCTGCGTCCTCCAACGACCAGACGGTAGGTCACTCCTGACAAGTTACTGCGCACCGAAGTGCATCCATGTTAATTTCACTGTCAAAATGTCATGATTTGCATTGCATAGTCACTCTGGCCACCAGATCGGCTATAATCAGTGAACTGCCGACTTTTAGAAAATCGTACAAAACGTTGACTTTCTCTAACGACGTTAACTGCTGTGCTTTTATTAATTAATTCTTGAGTTAATTGCTGCGCAGTTCGTGCCCTGCAGTTCCCTGCCTTTATTGCCGCTGCGCTTCTTTTCATCGCTCGTGTTATTTGCTGGGATGCCATGGTATCCCACCCCTTGCTAAGCACGGATCAATTTAATCCATAAAACAATGCAGATGTACATACACGGCCAGGTGCTTCTGTTACAGTTTCTGTTTCTTCCACAGGGCGGCGCTGCATGTGCGCGAGCACACGACGCCGTCGCCGCGTCTCCAGCCGAGGATTCCAAAGCCTCCGGCTCAGAGGAAGCGCCTTCTGAGTCCTCTGGCCCAGAGGCAGCGGCTCAGCCTCTGAGCGGCCCGGTGACCGGCGCCCAGCTCACCCGCAGGGCTGAGTTCCTCAGGCAGCAGAGGCTGGACATCCGGGAGAGCATTGTCCAGTACCTGCGGGACGACGCCGCCCTGTCTCGTCTGAAGGTCAGTCATCGGGTCACCCTCCCTCTCATTCCCTGCGCTCCGCTGGGGGACGCGGGAGGGTTCAGGGCCGGCCCGTGTCACGCGGAGTGGGGTAGGGGGTATGGGTGAGTGAGGTGGGGACGGGTGTTGATTGTTAAACGGGCTGATGTAGAGGGATCGATGAAATGTGCAGGGACATGGCTGCAGGAGCATTTGGAAGAGAGGAAACGAGACCATTGTAAGACACAACTGGCAGGTGGACCTATCACAGGGGTGGTGACTGGCTGGGGGTCATCTCGCACGGATAGGAAAGGCACAGCGCTTAGAAGAGCCACCTCCCCCTTTTTCGACTTTGGACAATCTAGCATTGTCCTGCGGTGTTTCACGTGTGAAGAGAGCAAAGGGACTGACTTTGCACCCTTCCTCCCTCACATTTGCCCCTCCCCCCCCCCCCCCGATGGGTTTCACCGTCACTGATCAGACGAAATGCAGTTCGCGCCTGTGTGCCGATGAACATCCCTGGAGTATTTCAACCCTGTAGCGATTGGCCTGTGGTCGAACAACAAATGACAGAGCAATATGCGCCAGTGTGATGGTGTGTAGGTGAAGCCTGAGGAGGAGGGTGTTGGTGGGAAGGGGAGGGGTGAGGTTATAGGATGGCTGGACATTGCTGATTGGAGCACACCGCCCCGGCTGTGATCGGTTTAGTACGTCCTTTGATGTGTGTTCCTTAATGTTCTACGCAAAAAGCTCACGAAGCCGCTGTGCTCTCACGAGTAAAATCCATGGAGCTCCTTGAAGCCTATATGGCAGCCAAGCGTTTTGCAAGAAGAACGTGTGAAACTTATACTTGCATGTGTCTGCCGCTGCTGTTTTCTGCTGCGGGTTTCCGTCAGCATCGTCTTTTGTCTGTGTCACACGGTCGCGACCTCACATGACCCAGAGCGCCACACTTTCGGCCTCCGAGGTGTCTCACCGTCGTGCTGATCTTGACCTCGCTGCCGAGCAGACCACGCTGAGGCAGCAGGAGACAGTGACGCCCGCCGAGAGGGAGGCCTTCATACTGGAGAGGGACAGGTTGCAGCAAGTCCACCAACAGCTTCAACAGCGCCTGCGAGATAGCGAACAAGAGGTGTGTCTTGGATGGTCGGTGCTCGATCACATGACCATTTTTGACTATTTTTGACTATTGACTATCTTGACCACTGCTGTTGTATTTTTTACGCCCGACTTAACTGTGGCCTATCCGGACATGACACAGCGCGCGGCCGTGTCACAAAAAGCAACTGCATATTTTGGGGTCGTCTTAGTAAGGCCGACGGCATAGAGTCTCCACTGTATCCATATAACGCTTCGATTGTTCCGCTTTGATCATCTGCAGAGGCACGAATGATTAGTATGTTCCGTGACGTTATGTAGATTATGTGTCGGAAACGGCGATTCTTTCCTTGTTTTTTGTCATCTTTGGCCATCGACCGCGCGGTAAGCATACGGTCGCCCCCTAAGCAGAGCCACTCATGTAGCCGCGCCCGAGACAGCTGGTGGGAGTTGGCCTTCACACACCAAATATCACGATGGTCGTCAGGGAAAATAAAACTTAAACTTCGCCGAGGTCATGTATTAAGCAATGGATATCGTTTAATGTCTGAATGGAACATCTGTCGTGTAATAAGCTTCCAGCGCCTTGCTTCCAACATTGCCATACCCGAGTCCTCTTTGCATTTTGACGGACGGCGATCGACTAGAACGATAACGGAGTTGTGTCCAAGGCGTCCTGTTCACGAGCGTTCATGGTCCGAACCTTCTCTGCCCGCCAGATCACGGAAGACTTCAAGGTCATCCACCAGAACGAGGAAGTCCCCATATCGCCCCAGCAGATAGAAGGTGCGGCTTAGTTGGTACTGTAGTCCACAGCTGACGGGCAAGCCTAGGTTCCTCTCTGGTCAGCCGCAGGAGCAGGAGCTTTGTGTCGGAGTAGGAACAGGAGCTGGCGCAGGAGACTTGCATGAGTTCCGCGGAGCCCGGAAACCAGCTGCTGTAAAGAGAACCTCGGCATTATTTTTACAAAAAAGTACATTTAGTGCAACATATGTATACATGCATATATATATATATATATATATATATATATATATATATATATATATATATATATATATAATGTCTCATGGGCGCACCTCGCTTCACACCTGTCTGTGTGTCCGGAAATGGTGTTGTCTGGACTGGATCTGGATCGAATCCGTGCGAATCGCAGCCCTTGTAATTGAAATGGATTCTGAACCAAATGATTCAGGTGCTATCGGGGTATGCGATCAGAGGTGGCATTCCGTGAGTCAGAGCTGGTCGTCATTGGTGCTGTTTTTCTGGGCGAACCGTTGCCGCTATTCGTCCTGCACAATGTCACCACTCTTCGCTCGTGACGTGCTTCCATGTGACCGTGACGTGCTTCCATGTGACCGTGACGTGCTTCCATATGACCGTGACGTGCTTCCATGTCATATGACCGTGACGTGCTTCCGTAAGCATCAATGCTGCTCCTCGTTCCGGTGAGGTGGTGTGTTAACGATGCTGCCACGTAAAACTGATTGGTAAACCGAACCGTGCTTCATATATTGTGTTTCCTGGCCGACGGTGTCGACCCTGGTGGCTGGGCAGCGAACTAACACTTGGTCGTGTTCACAGCAAGGAGAAGGCGATTTTTGCCGGAATTTCTGGTGAACCGGGTGTCGTTCAGCGACCAGCAGTCGCCGCTGGGCATGGCCTGCTCCCTGGGAAACGTCGAGGTGGTCCGTCTCCTCCTGGATAACGATGCTTCGATCGGTTAGTCTGGGGCGAACTTATTTCGATACGGTAATTGTGTTTGGTTTACTTTATGGTAAGGAGTTTCGCATAGCTGCTCGAATTTTAAATTTGCGCTTTCAAGCGTTCCCTGCCAGAAACACAGCCATCTCATTTCTGGGTTAATGTTTACCAATGGGTGTTTCCTGGGTTATAAAGACAAAGGCTCAGCTTTAGGTAAGGGTGCCGCTCACCAGATGTAACAGACATCGGAGCTTATGCGTGGTGTGCCAGCTCACAGACAAAGACATCGATATAACACCGCATAATTTGCGATAAACAGATACGAGCTTCCCATTAGGTGCAAATTGACTTATTTATTGGGTACATGTATTTGCCGTAACCGCTGAGGGCGTCCGTGTCTGTGTTTGTATGCGCGTGTGGGAGATGAGGACAAAGTTCGTCGAAGGCGCGCAGCTGAGAGACAATGTAGTTGAACCGCAAACCACACCCACCACTCAGTGATTGGCTTACGGCGACCGTCTCATGTCAGACATGTGCGTCGAGACTTGTCACACGAAGTGATGCGTAATCCACCGCCGGCTGTCGCTATCCCGGCTCTGACAGGCCTTTCTGCACCCAGAGCACAGCGACAGCCGTTACTATCCCGGCTCTGACAGGCCTCTCTGTGCTCAGAGCACACCAACAGCCGTTATTATCCCGGCTCTGACAGGCCCTTTTCGCGCCCATAGCACACCGACAGCCGTTACTACCCCGGCTCTGACAGACCTCTCTGCACCCAGAGCACACTGACAAGGCGGGCTTCACGCCGCTCATGCTGGCCTGCCGCGCCGGCCACACCGAGGTCGTACAGCTGCTGCTGCACAAGGGCGCCAACCACAGGCACCAGGCCAGCGGCTCGCTTGAAACGCCGCTTACGCTGGCCTGCATGGGCGCTCATCACCAAATCGCCCACATCCTCATCCAAAGGTAAGGCTCTGACCCCGGTGTATGCGTGCATGCGTGCGTTGGTGACTGTTGCAGAGGTGGGTGTGTTCGTGCATGCCACTCGTGTGCCCGTGCATATGTGGCCTGGTCGATGTTGCAGCCGCCGTTTGCGTAGGTGGATGCATGTGCATTTACATTTGCCGAGGTTTGATATACTTGCATCCATTCGGCAAAGGTGTGTAATGCTTGCTCGGCACCGATCATGCGGCAACATCAGAACGGATTTCGTTGGTCAGAACCGCGCCGATGACTGACCGAAACGGATCCTCAGTTTTCCCCTTGACGTGATTCTCCGCCTGTCGCTGGTGCCACCTCTCCCGGGCTTCCCTCACCGACGCTCCTGTGTCAGGGGCGCCCGTGTGGAGCACCGCAACGGCCACGACAACACGCCGCTGATGCTGGCGGCGGCCAGCGGCAGTGTACAGATCGTCCGACTGCTGCTGAGGGAGGCGGTCGACATCAACAGCAGGCGGTCCTCCCGCTCCAACGTTACGCCACTGATACTGGCGGCCAGCCACGGACACCTGGATGTCGTCAGGTGATCCATCAGTCGGCCCCGGGCTTCGGCCTTGCCTGGCCGGCGTCGCCAGGACAGCTAATTGCGTCGTCTTAGTACTAAATATGCCATGCCTAGTACTATATATACTGTTTTTGGTACTATTTATGGCACACATCGTCTCGGTATCGTTCATCCCTTGCACGCACTTGCTGTATTTGTGGGCTAACGTTCGAGGAACAGTCTGGAACCAAGCAAGCCGTTTTCCCAAGCATTTGGTGACCAATACGTGCATGAACCAGATATGGAATTTTAAACGGACCATTAGACCACTGAGACAAACAAGAGCCAGAGGAAAATCTTGAGATGCTAGAAATGTAATTAATCTGCTGCCGCCGACAGATATCTGCTGATGAAGGGCTGTGACGTCTCGGCCAAGGTCAAGGGCAACAAGCAGACGGCCTTGACCTTAGCTTGCTTCAAGGGCCACGACGAGGTGGTTGGTCTTCTGCTCCAGCATGGGGCCAACCCCGAACACGTCGCCATGTTTGGAACTTGTCAGGTGAGAAACGGACGCCCTAACCGGCCTGTGCGATAAAGTGAGTTGTCAGCTGTTCATTAGGCCAAAAAAGATGCTGTCGTATTGATGGCGCGTCTGCCAAGAAGCGGTCAGAACTGCAGACACATGTTCCGAGACCACACCTTGCACTGACACGTTTGCAGTTTGCAGTCTAATCCGACAATGGCATGACCTGTTTGCAGTCTGACCTGACGATGGCATGACCTGGCTTAAGTCTGATCTGACAATTACATAACATGTTTGCAATCTGACTAAAAATTTCTGCAGGCTGGGTCGATATGCTATCCGTTGGACATCATGTTGCATGATGGCGTGGATGCGGTCTGCACTATTGTTGATCTATACAGCCTAGCCGCACAAGTCAACAGTCTAACGAGATGCGGCTGTAGTCGGAACTTCCACGTCCACAGGGTGAACTGGCATATCAACAGTGACATACCGTGTCCACCGCTGGCCAGCCTCGTCCACAGTCTGACCTGTGACGTCCGCAGACGGAGATGACGCCGCTGATGGCGGCCGCCTACCAGGGCTTCCCGAAGGTGGTGCGGCTGCTGTTGGAGCGGGGCGTTGATATCAACGCCACGGTGCCCGGCGGCGGCGGCAAGACGGCGCTCATGCTCGCCGCCTGGCGCGGCCACACCACCCTCGTCATGCTGCTCATCGCCAGGTGAGGATCGGTCGGCACGTGAGCGGGGTTACCATGGCGCGGCCCGGGTCGTCGGGCTGGGGTTGTGGTGCCGGTCTGATGTGGCCGGAGTGTGGCTGTTGCTCCGGCGGTCAGGTGCAAGTGGTGGTTCTGTTTTGGTTTGAGTGCACAGCTGCCATCATTCTCTCGCAACACGCAGTATTTTAAACACCAGGAGCATTGCCCACAGCCCCAGTACGCCATCACCCTTGTCATTGCTGTGCGTACGAGTTACTCGTCCCGCTCAAAACTAAGCTAAATGAACTGCTCTCCGAGCAGCTATTGTGGCCTGCTTCGTCAAAACCCTGGTTGATGCTTACAGAGGGGTGGCAATCGAAGCCCGCAACACGGCGGGCCGCACTGCCCTCTGGTGGGCGCTGGACGCGGGTCACGGCACCATAGCACGGCTGCTGCAGACGTGCGGCGCCTCGGTCGACGTGCAGGACACCAGACAGGTCGGTGGCAGGCAGCCAGGACATGTCGTAACGACTGCAGCAGACATAGATGTGCGTGATGGGCTCAAGAGTTGACAGGGCCTGTGCCAGTCCAATGGAACACATGTAGCTCCTGTTCTCCTGTTGGGCCGTTCTCGGCATTGATCTGTGTACATTCAAAGAATCTGTGCCGACCTGCCGTCATTGTACCTTCTACGTGCTGAGATTTTATGTACAACAGCGCAGCACCAGTCTGTTGGCACTACTCTTCTTTTCTGTGACCGAGTGTCACAATCGAGCCGTGTGGCGTGTGATCACACCCAGACGTTTTTCCTTGCCGCTTGTGGCTGCACATCAGCCTGCTGCGTCTCCGTTGTGACAGTCCAGGCTGACCTGCCCTCTGTGTGGCGTCAGGTGTCGTGCATCATGGCGGCGTACCGCGGCGGCAACGTGGAGCTGGTGCGCTGGCTGTTGGAGTGTGTGTCGCAGCTGCCGTCTGTTGCCGAGCTGAAGCAGTGCCTCCGGTCCCGCTCGAAGAAGGTGAGGGTGTAACGCGGTCTCGGGGCGGTGGTGACGTGGCGTGAGTGAAGCAACCATGTGCTTTATAATACACTGGCGCTGTAAGAGGTGAAATCGTGGGGAAATGCCTATTACGGATTTCAATTGAATGGTAACATAGCAAGTTAATATCTGGAGCAGCATCTAGAGACGTTAAGCTGCTGATGGAAAACGATTATCGGGACCTCTGAAAAGATCTTTCTGACCTCCTGTGATATGTTACTGAGTCACATCGCTACCTGGTATCTCTCTTCCCCTTTGCTTAATTCGCCGCGACTGAGGCTGTGCAGTGGGCTGACTGTGGTCAGTGTGTCATCGCCGAAGGGGCATCTCGTCGGGACTCATGTCCAGATCGGCCCAGGCCCACCGCCGTCTTGTTGCCTGTCATGCCGCGGCTAGGAAGACGATGTTTTAGTTCGTCGCCCTGCCACCAGGGGCGTGACACTAATCCCTCTTCTCTCGCCCGCAGCGCTCGATAGCCCTTCGCGGGCCCCTGTTACCTCTGGGGACCCTGTTTAAGCGTCGCGCACAGTGCCTGTACTTCATCCGAGCCGAGATGAAGCAGCGGGGGTACTGAGCGGGCAGGAAGGGCGAATCCTTCCTCGAAGAGCTGGCTCCTGATGTCGCCGAGGAGAAGTGGAAGAAACCGGTCACTAAAGACAAGGTGCAGTAGCGTGTACTTCCTCACTCATACTGTTTATACTAATGCGCCAACGTGACCGACAAGTCACCGGGTGAGATGATGTGACGGCGCGCTGGCCAAGTGTACCGGGCTAGCATTGACGCCGGGGGAAGTGTGACGTCAGGGCCGTGTTCTCTGCAGCTGTGTCTGGCAGCCCTCGTCCTGTCATCTTCGCCGCAGAAGTGGTCTGCTTGTGGTGTTCATGTATGATATGGTACTGCTTAATAAATACAAATGCCTTATAAACATTGCGTTTGCCAGTGGATGTGTAATTGTGCCACAAGAAATCGGGCAAAGGGCCACCGTCAGATGATAAGTTTCAGTGGTCTATAAAGGGGAACATTTCACATGTGAGAATATTAAAGTAAGCATCAGATATGATGAAACGAGCTCACTTGTGACTATTCTTCACTTGTCCGGATTCCATCGGTCGTTTATTTGTATACACACGTGGTCACATCCAGTGGCGGTGCCCCGTGCTTCCGTAGCTACCACACGATAGCGGCACATTTCGCTGGCATAGCTTTCAGTCTGGTACATTCAGAGTTTTTCTTGAGTTTCTGAACACAAATGGTTCAACTCGTCAGTTGTGTTTGTACTTACTGCTACACATCTCTCCACATCGGATTATTTATGAATGAATCGGATGAAACCGGTAATGGATGGGTCGCGCGGTCCATTACGACATTGCCACACATACTGATTACCCAACAGCACACATAGGCGGATAGCGGGCACAGACAATGTTTCGTTAGACGATACAGATAGGTTGGTGATCACTTGCTGCATTGTGAATTGCTTGCCAAGCCGCGTGCACTTGGGTAGCCCAGAATGCCAACGACCCAGAACAGACCCAGAAAACTTATAGAATACTCTCTGTGTTACCTAACAGCGCTGACAATGATCTGAATTTGTTATCCCGTAAAGGTGCAGCATGTGGTCATTCGGCGAAATCCCATGAAAAATTCTGAGTTGTGACCACTTCAGTTTAAAACCAACGTTTGTGGTAAATAGGGTTCTGTATATGTGTCCATTTTTCTTGACATATGGCCCCTAATTCATGCTCCCATTTCACTTGCGAGTGTATAGGTAAGACAATGTGTGCTGGTCATAAAAGCGTACTATAACCCCACCTTGCTGTTTCCATGTATGTGGTTATTTGATCATTTGCACGAGGACGGCTAATAGCAGTAGGCCTTTCCTGCGCCAGTATCTCTTTCCATGATCTGAAAGAGGAATTGATCATGATCATAACATGGCATGATGAAGACATGATCGCGATCTGTGAGGAATGGCATGCGGTATGGACCGCCAGGTCAAAAAATGTCCGCGCCCGACTTGTACGTGCAGTTGGTTAGCATTCAGAAGCTTTCGGTTCTGATAGTCATAGAACTCACTTATTTGAACAACTGAATGATGTATCACCTGATGCTTGTGCATAGACTTATTCTCCTCTAAATACATGTCAGAATTGTTCCATCGAACTTCGACTGGAATATTTTCTCCGTTAGCTTAGGCTGTACTTAACAGTACGGTTTGCGTCCAAGCATTAAGTACCTCCTACTAAAATACATATCCATCTAAGAAGTTAAGTGACTTTTTAGAGTCGATGTCACAGTGCAGCGGGGATTTTCGTCCTTTATTTTAAGTCGATATTGTATAAGCTCCTTCCACTAAGCTTTGTAGTCGGAGTCAAATACCTTCTTAATCCAGACAATTTTGAGGCTGACGGCTTGAACTGAAGGTCCTTGGATGTTCAAACCTCCCATGTAAAGACGGTTTTTGAGTACAGCTCGTTTTATTTTGTCCCGCAATCTATTCCAAATGAAATGATAAATGATGTTTTCTATTTTCTTTAAAATCGACCTGTTAGACGTTTCTGATACTGTCATGAGATATGCCAGTTGCGAAAGGGCCTCCGACTTTATCGCGTCACCTTTCCATAGACCGTAAGGCTCCGCTCGAGCCATGGGCTCAGCTTTCCTTGCAGTCCTTCTATTTTTTCAGAGGAGTAAAGATCGCCTAGATTCTCGCATGTCGTTGTTCGTTTAACTCCCAGTGCAAAGCTGGTCTGTCCAAACACCTCGCGTCTTTTTTCCGTGTTCCGACCGGTCCATGAAAATGACAATATCATCGGCATAGGCTGATACCTTTCTTTCTGTCTCTGCAATGGTGAGCCCTTTGATACTATTATGTGCTAACGGTTCAATTGAAATAAGAAAAGTAAACAGCTGATCGGCATCCTTGACGAAGGCTATTGGAAATTTCGTATAGTTCTGGCAAATGTCCATTTACCTGCAAACGTGCAAACGCAAATTTGCCTGCAAACAACTCTGAATGATTCCTGTTTCATCATACAGCATGCTCACCCACTTCTGCATATCGGGACCGAAATCCAGTGACAGGAGAACGCTTATCAAAGACCCCCAGTCTATAGAAGCATAGGCTTTCACAGCAAATCACAATTCACGCCAATCACAGAGAGGTATCATCCCATGTATATCAGGGTTTCTGCGTATCGTTTACATCGATGATATGACGCACACTTCCACCCCCTTTCAATCTTTCCTTAAGAAAACCGGTCTGGTCTTCGTTTATGATCTCATGCATCACCGCGTGTAGTCGTTGAGAAAGTGCTTTGGTTAATAGCTCGCAGGCAACATAAAGACGGCTGATGGAACGAAGCGAGTCCATTTGGCCTTTGCCTTTGGCTATTTTTGATATAAGAACGGTAATGCTAGATTTAAAACATTTGGAATGGCTTCTTGGTTAAACATATCGAGCAGCACGGACAAGGTAATTTCTTTCAAATCATCCCAGCACACTTTGCAGAACGGTACAATCAATCCGTCTAGTCCCGGACTAGAAGAGGCTTTCACTGAAAAGAGCGCTGCCTGTAACTCGTCAACTGTCAGCGGCCCTTCACATATAGACTCCTCCAGGCGGGTTGTGCCATTAACGAATTCTTCGGGCCCAGTAATGGCCTCATCACGAGCGTACACAGCCTGAAAATAAGCACGTCTCTCTTCTAACATTTTTTGTACATCAGCTGATGTATTGCCTCGCTTCGTTCTGAGTGTTGTACACTTATTGTTTCTTCTGTTCAGAGCATGGAAGTATGGTGCGCCCTTTCCTGCAAACTGTCACTAATTCGTTCTGCATCGGAACATATTACTTTTTGTAAGTGTAGTCATTAGTTTGACACACCTTGTCTTCAGCTCCTCTGTCGCTTCAGCCGGTAGACTGTCGCTCTACCTCCCTGAACTTTATTTCGGCAGCTCTTTTCTTGTGGCTAGCATACAGAACAATACAATTTCTCAAAACACAAAACACGGTGGGTAGCAGGGTAGTCTTTTTCATCTTATCTGACTCGTTGTCTGGAATCATCCCTGCGAGGAGTCAGACGCGTAGAAGGGTTTCGATATGAATTCATTGGAAAATAAAACACTACTGTTTGTCACCGCCTTTTTTCGGAAGATCGGTGAGTCTATGACGTATGGTGCGGCCCTGATCTTGAGGTTTGTGCTAACCTGCGCTCGGCCGGGGGTCTGAGGCAACCGCATCTGCCCCGAGGGTCTGAGGCAACCGCATCTGGCCCGGTGGTCTGAGGCAATCACATCTGGCCCGGTGGTCTGAGGCAACCGCATCTGGCCCGGTGGTCTGAGGCAACCGCATCTGCCCCGGGGGTCTGAGGCAGCCGCATCTGGCCCGGTGGTCTGAGGCAACCGCATCTGGCCCGGTGGTCTGAGGCAACCGCATCTGCCCCGGGGGTCTGAAGCAACAACATCTGGCCCGGTGGTCTGAGGCAGCCGCATCTGGCCCGGGGGTCTGAGGCAACCGCATATGGCCCGGTGGTCTGAGGCAACCGCACCGGGCCCTGTGGTCTGAGGCAACCGCACCTGGCCCGGGGGTCTGAGGCAACAGCATCTGGCCCGGGGATCTGAGGCAACCGCGTCCGGCCAAGGAAAAGTTGACTCCCCCTGGGATCTCAAACTTTCATATATTGTACGAGAAAAACAAAGATACCGTTTTTAAGTCTCGCCACATCATGAAGAATGCACACCAAATGTCTGTTCTTGAGTCAAAGATGAAGCCATCAGACTACATGGACGATGCTTTTTTGTTTTCATTCACGATGTGCTTCCGGCTAAGCTTATTGTAGTTGTTGCAGCTGTGGGATAAAAGAATCCCAGACACAAAAATACCGTTGTATGCTGACCTGAAGGTAAGCTGAGGTCAACTCAAGTCAAGTTCAAAAGCCATTCAAATGAGGAAAAATTGAAATGCTATCCGGGTAAAGTTACCAGTGCAATGATCTTCTGTGGTCAGAAACAATGAGTTATGCATCCACAGGTACTCAAGATCGCACAGCTTTTGTAGGCATTATACACAGTCCCTTCGGCGTTTGACAATGTATTTGTAACAAACTGAGAACAAGCACGCTGGAAATTATGTGCCATCAGCTTCACGAACACAATATAAAGGTGATAACATGCGTCTCACTCGTGCATTTAACCACTCCGCTAGTGATAACAGACGTCGTTGATCTTGGATGACCTCATATGACCTTACGTATTATTACGTGACCTGTTGGGGCCTTATGATGCATTGCAATGATATCACAACATGTTTTCAGTTAGATGATCAAATTCTGCGCCCAAAATTACCTATTGAACTGTCTATTTAAATCAGCCAGTATTTTGCAGAAGGTATTCATACAGGTAAGTCATGACCTAGGTCAATTTCATGGGCTCTGTGGTCATCTTATGGTTGTGCATGTGAGTTAATATTCTTTTCCTCATATGCAAACATCAAAACTACACAAAAATGTGTCAAATTTTCAGTCCTTACAAAAAAGTAAAAACTAACCTCATCTCAGGTCATTGGCTTCACCT